GTCTCGAACCCGCGGGCCCAGGTAATCCACTCACCTCAGCCTCCCAAAGGCACGGGATTACAGGCTGAGCCACCGAGCCCGGCTTGAACGTGTAAATTAAGGGACCACACGAAGTACCTGAAAGCATGAGGGAGGGCGTAGCACCTACAGTAGGGAAAGAGACTGCCTGCTTCCTCCCTTCTTCTATCCTGAGAAAGAGGTGAGGTGAGGTTGGAGGAAATAGCTGACTGTGGCTGAGAGATTTTTATCAGAAGCCATGTAGCAGGTGCTTTGTGAGTCAGACAAAGATGGGTAAATATTGCTCCTATCCTCTGTAGTCCAAGATAGGCAGAAGAAAGGGACTATTTTCAGTCTAGGAAAATGCTCACTCTTTCCTCAAAACATTTCCACTGTGATGAAAAGAGACTGTGATTAAGTCTCAGAGAGAAAGGCAACACCAGGCTGGGTGCAGTAGCTCACGCCTGTATTTCCAGCACTTTGTGGCCAAGGCAAGAGGACTGTTGAGCTCAGAAGTTCGTGACCAGCCTAAGCAACATAGCGAGACCTCATGTCTCCAAGAAAAGAGAAGGAGAAAGAGGGGCAACTCTGGATGGTGACGGTAAGTTAGGAATGGTGAGAGGAAGGGTGAGCTTTTTGTGAGACCTGGGAGGGAAGAAAGGAGGAAAGAGGGGAAACTCCTTGGTAGCCACTTTTTATTTTTGTTAGTGACAGTGGGATTAGATCCTGAATGGATCTCATCTAGGGCTGAGAGAGCTCAATAAACATGTTGGGGCGGGGAGGAATCTGCAACCCACGCACGTTGGCCATTGGCCAGGCTTGATGGTTCATGCCTGTAATCCCAGCACTTTGGGAGGCCGAGGCAGGAGGATTGCTTGAGCCCAGGAATTCGAAACCAGCCTTGGTGACATAGCAAGCGTTTCTATAAAAAAAAAAATAATAAAATAATAAACTGCAACATGTCAGCATCAAAACCTACTTTTGTCTCTGTCAGTTTGGGAATGTCTGGCTGAGAACCGGTCATAACCAAAGATCTAGTCAGTCAGCAAGTAGGCGGAGAGTTCTGCCCCCTGGGAGAAGAGTGGCTGCAGCTCCTGCCCTGCTTTGGAGGAGGGGAGGCGGGGTGACTCTGGTGGGAAACGCTGTAATTTCCTTTTTTGACTTTCACAGCAATAGTGCAGAATCCAGAATGGATGTCTTCTTTGTAGCCATCTTTGCTGTGCCACTTATCCTGGGTAAGTCCACTTCTCTCCCTGAGCTTTTGTGCCCGGTCTCTGTCAAGAGACACAAATTGGGGTGGGAGGGAAAAAAATAAGGAGTGAGTGAGAGTTGCATTTCCAAGGGGAGTGGTAGAGCTTTCTCATCTGTGCGAGGGTCCAGTGCTAGGGCAGAGGGGGAGCTCTGGAATGCAGAACCAGGAAAGGGGGAGGAAAGCAGAGTCCTGTCAAAGGAGGAGGATGGAGCTCCAGACCCAGCGAGGTCCTAGCAAGATTGACCTCAGTTGTCCATCACCAGGAAGCTGAACTAGATGAGAGGCACTAAAGTGAGAGTGAAAGAGAAAGGTGGACTCTTGGAAGATGGGACAACGTGGAACTAGTAGCCAGAGTATCTCCTTACCTAGAGAGTATTAGCAAAGATTCAGATGTGGGGTAACCTTTGGGGTCGTGGAAACTTGGCTGCCATCAGGACCAGGGTCCCAAGAGTAGCTTGACTCCTTCCCTCCTTTGTTCCCAGTCTGCCAGGTGTGCCTCACTGTTTCCTTTTCCTCCAGATTCCTGTGTCATTAGCTTGGAACTGAAGGAAAAGCATTCAAGGGGCGCAGGAAAGTGCTGAGCAGGAGACCTCGAGTTCTCAACTCAATCATATCAAAGCCACATATTTTTAGTTCTGGAAGGGAAGAAAAATGAACGGAGATGGGTCATGGAGTCCAGATGACTCATTTTAAGAAAGCAGATGCTGCATGGATTGTTCAGGGTCTTTCCACTAGTTCGCAGTGAAGCTGGAACTAAAACTGAAATCCAAAAGCCTAAGGGTGTGTGTTAGTTCTTTGTAGGAGACGCTGAATAGAGCTGATGAGAGACGATCTCTCACAAATACAAAATGGTCCAGAGCATACGGAATAGAAGAGTTGGAGGTTTTAATTTCTGGTCTCTACCTTCCTATATTTTTTAGGGTTAGTTCTCCCTTGGGGTTTATAGTGTGCAAAGGGATCTGTTTTCTGTTCCTGGATTGAAAGGGCCCATGGGACAGGCTTCGTTACAGATATGGAGCCCAGAGACTGAGAAAGGTTTAAAGGCACAGAGGCAGGAAGAGCATATGACCCTTGGAGGGGAGGCAGAAGGAAAGAAAATGAGTAGAGCTGAGGTCATCTCCAGGTATTCTTCTGTTGGTAAGGAGTTCCAGATGCCCCTTGACCTGTAGTCTTTGTCCCCATAGGACAAGAATATGAGGATGAAGAAAGGCTGGAAGAGGACGATTATTATCAGGTGGCCTATTATTACACAGTCACCCCCAGTTATGGTGAGTACATGAAAGCCTCCAACCCTCAGCAGACTGGAGGAAGGTTCCAGGGATATTTAGTTCTGAGACTTTGCTCTTCACTCTGCAGACAACTCAGAGAGAAATTTGGCTATGAGCACAAACTATCAAGACTTGTGAGGTTATTTTTCAAGATAGTGATTTTTAATTCTTTGGAAGATGGCTGAAACAACTTGAAAATTTTCAAATTTGTAAATTTTTGTTTGTTGAGTTGGAGTCTCACTCTGTCTCCCAGGCTGGAGTGCTGTGGCACGCTCATTATCACTGCAGCCTCCACCTGCTGGACTCAGGCAGTCCTTCTGCCTCAGCCTTGCAGAAGGCGGTCCTTCTGCCTCAGTAGTTGGAATACAGGTGTGCGCCACTATGCCTGGCTGACTTTTTGATTTATTGTAGAAATGAGGTCTTACTAAGTTGCCTAGGCTGATCTCAAACCCCTGGGCTCAAGGAATTCTTTGCCTCTGCCTCCCAGGCATGAACCACCACTCCTGGCTCTGTAAATTATTTTAGATACCAGATTGAAAATATAAATGCATACACATTCACAACTTTGGGGGGGGGGGGGTTGGAGTCTCACTCTGTCACCCAGGCTGCAGTGCAGTGGCAAGCTCACAGCCACCCCAGCCTCATCTTGCTGGGCTCAGACAATCTTTCCACCTCAGCCTTCCAAACAGCTGGAACTACAGGGATGCATCACCACGCCTGGCTAATTTTTTTTATTTATTGCAGAGATGAGGTCTTGCCACGCTGCTCAGACTGTTTCAAACCCCTGGGCTCAGGCAGAACTCTTGCCTCTGCCTCCCAAAGTGCTGAGATTACAGGCATGAGCCACTATACCCAGCTCACAAACATTTTTAACATTAGAGTTAATTAAGATTGGATTGTACCAACACATTTTAAAAATTGAGCAAACTGAAGTATTTCTTCCTTTTTCACTTCCAGATCTAGAGTTACTTTTCTCCTTTATTACTACTTATTTTCTTTCTTCTCCACAGATGACTTTAGTGCAAATTTCACCATTGATTACTCCATGTTTGAGTCAGAGGACAGGCAGGTGAGTGACCTCTACATCGATGAGGGTCAGGATAAGTAACAGTTAAAAAGAAACTAGGCAATGCTGAAATGTAATTCATGAGCAGAAATAAAAGTGAGTAAGATGAAGAGAAACTAGGCTGGCTGCTCACACCTGTGATCCCAGCACTTTGGGAGACCTAGGTGGGAGAATCACTTGAGGCCAGGAGTTCAAGACCAGCCTGAGCAAACAGGGAGTCTCAGTCTTCATTTATTAGTTTAAAAAATTAAAAAGGGCTGGCCGCAGTGGCACACGCCTGTAATCCCAGCACTTTGGGAGGCAGAGGCTAGAGGATTACTTGAGCCCAGGAGTCCGAGACCAGTCTAGGCAACTTGGTGAGACCTCGTCTCTACAATAAATCAAAAAATTAGCCAGGCGTGGTCACAAGCACCTGTGATTTCAGCTACTTAGAAGGCTGAAGTGCCGGGCTCGGTGGCTCAGCCTGTAATCCCATGCCTTTGGGAGGCTGAGGTGAGTTGATTGCCTGAACCCGCGGGTTCAAGACCCGCCTGGGCAGCGAGACCTCATCTCTACAATAAATCAAAAAATCAGCCGGGCGTGGTAGCTCATGCCTGCAATTCCAGCTACTTGGAAGGCTGAGGCGGAAGGATCGCCGGAGCCCAGCAGGTCGAGGCTGCGGTGGCCGTGAGTGTGCTACTACACTCCAGCCTGGGAGACACAGTGAGACTCCAACTCAATAAAATAAAATAAAATAGGTAGAAAGAGAAACTAAAACTGAGACGGGTTTAAAGTGCAGAGTCAGAAAGAGAGTATGCCCCTTGGAAGGTAGGGTCATAACCACAGTTGGAGAGGAGAAGGAAGAGGAAAGCCAGAACCCAGGAAGTTTGCTAAGATACTGGGGATGGAAAGGGACTTTTGAATGAGATGAGTACATAATCCATGCAAGCACAGGACAGGAAGGATCCCTGAGCTTAAGTCTTTGGGTCGGGGAGAGGTGGTGAAGGGGAGAACTCTAAATAGAGAATCTGTGAGGATGTTGGATGAAGAAGATGATAACTCTATGTTTCCCAATCCCACGGAGGGTAGAACAGGTTGGATAAGGTGGTAACCGAAGCAGTGGAGACTACCATTAGTCCTGAAACAACATGGGCAGACCATCAGAAGCCTGTAACCGTGAAACCAGTAACAACGAAAGCAGTGAGTTAATTGGGGATTGGGGAAGGGAGACAAGACATCCCTTGCCCTAGACAGATTCCAAGTCTAATGACATGGAGTAGACAGAGGGCTGGAGTATCAGACTTTGGTGAATGGGGGAACCAAATAACTAGTGCTTCAATGCAGGTGTTCATCTCAACTTGTTCATCATCTCTTTCACTGAGATGTAATACTAACCTTGTGTCTGGAACACTGGAAAGATTTGGTGCAAATTTCAGTTCAGCTGGGCATGGTGGCTTATGCCTGTAATCCCAGCACTTTGGGAGGTGGAGGCGAAAGGACTGCCTAAGTTCAGGGGTTCAAGACCAGCCTGGGCAACTTGGTGAGACCTTGGCTCTACAATAAATCAAAAAATTAGCCGGGCGTGGTGGCACATGTCTGTAGTTCCAGCTACTTGGAAGGCTGAAGCTGAAGGATCGCCTGAGCCCAGCAGGTTGAGGCTGCGGTGGCCGTGAATGTGCCACTGTACTCCAGCCTGGGCGACAGAGTGAGACTCCTACTCAAAAAAAAAAAATTTTTTTTTCACTTCAGTGGTACCTAATGTGTATGTAACCTATGCCTGAGGTTGCTGAGGATGCCGATCCTAATGAAAAAGAAATCTATGATATTGTTATTGCCCTCAAGGAATTTATAAAACTCAAGTTTACATTTATAATACATTTAGAAGTGAAAAGGTATGCTACAAATGTATATGTTAAATTACATATACATTTGAAAGCATATGACACAGGCAAGTGGTTTAGCCACTGTATGGAGAAAGATCAGTATAGGCTAGAATTGTCTGGAAGGCTTTCAAGAGATGATTGTGCTTAAGATACACCTTGATGAATAGGTGAGTTTTTGATTGGTTGGAACTTGTGAAAAGATGAAATCAATTAGGAGGAAGAATATTTATTCCAAGATTGAAATAGTTGCACAGGTAAAGGGTCTAGAACACGCCCAGTATGTTTAGCAGATGGGGTATGTCTGAAGTAGAGGGTATGTTGAGAGGAAAATAAAATAAAATGTAGAAGATTCCTAATGCTTGCTTGGTAATTTCACATACGGCAAGATAGGGCAAATTCTAGAGAGTCTGACATGGATGAAGTTTGGGCTCATAATCAATAGGGAGTCTGGTAGGTTCTTTATTATAGTAAAAACCTGATGAAAAGTGGTATTTTAGAAGAACTATTTATCTGGTTTTATGCAGGATGTAATTTTTGTAGGGATTTGCATTGTTCCAGAAACAATCTGGACTACAGAAATGGCATTATAAATGGAGAGAAGAAAAATCAGAACTATTTTGGAGAAAATTCCTTGCTTCAATGATAATTTCATGGCCAGGCGTGATGACTCACACCTATAATCCCAGCACTTTGGGAGGCAGAGGTGAGAGGAATGCCTGAGCCCAGGAGTTCAAGACTTGGTGGGCAACATGGCGAGACCTTGTCTCTACAATAAATAAAAAAATTAGCCAGGCATGATGGTGCACATCTGTAGTCCCAGCTACTTGGAAGACTGAGATGGAAGGATGGTCGAGGCCGTGGTAGCCGTGATCGTGCCTCTGCACTCCAGCCTGGGCAACAGAATGAGGTTTTTAAAATGAGTATCTGGGGAAATGGTTGACCAAAATAGGAACAATGGAAGGCTGGAGTGATTTAGAAGGAAGTTATGAATTTGGTATTGGCCAAGCTGAATTTAGGTGACAGCCTCATGAAGGTGTTCTAAAGGTAGCTGAACAACCAGGTCAGGGATAGAGTTCCAAGTGCAAATTCACAGTTACGAAAGTAAATGAGCTTATCAGATCCAGTACGTACAGAAGCTCAAAAGGTCAGTGACTGTGCTTGTAGTCAGTAGAAGGAAAAGGAATCAAACAAGGAGATGACTGGCACAATGGCTCATGTGCATAATCCCAGCACTTTGGGAGGCCCAGGTGAGAGGATTGCCTGAACCCAGGAGTTTGAGACCAGCCTGTGTAACATGGCAAGACCTTCTCCTTACAGTAAATTTTTAAAAAATTGGGCATGATGGCATGTGCCTATTGTCCCAGCTACTTAGAAGGCTGAGGCAGAAAGATCACCTGAGCCCAGGAGGTTGAGGCTACTGTAGCTGTGATTATGCCACTGCACACATGAGCCTGGGTGACAGAGTCTGTGACGCAAAAAAAAAAACAGTAGTTTAATTGAGTGGTTGGAGAAAAGCTAGCTAGATTTCATGGAGTTAAAGAGAATGTACATAATGAGGAAATGGAAGCAAATATCAACCAACTATCTAAAAAATCTGGTAATGAAAAAGAGAAGCAATAGCTGGAAAGGGGAACGGGACCAAAGAGCTGCCCGCATTTAGTTGAATACTGACAGGAGAAGCAAGTAAGAATGAAAAGTGTAAGTCCTTCGATCCCAGGTTTCGGCACCAAAAAAAAAAAAAAGAAAAGTGTAAGTCTTTTTAACATATATAGTAGGCTCCCATTAAATTGTACATTCCTTGAGGACAGGAACTATATCTTATTCACATTTATGTTCCTCCCTATAGCACCTAGCACAGTGACTAGCATAGTATCATGCACATAATAGATTTAAAAATAGGTGTCACTGAATTGAATTGGGGCCTCCCTGGTAAGGTCAGGGATAGCTGAAAGGCACAGAGGTAAGGACTTCTTATGGTGATGGGTAAAAGGGAGGGAACTTTCACAAAACTCAAAGGAAAGGAAGGCAGAGGTTGGTGGAAAGAGGTGGCTGTCTTTCTGGAGGGAAAAGTGGGAGGATGAATGACACTGGCCTACTGTGGGCGAATGTCTGTATTTTAGCAGAAACCAGATCTGAATGGTGCTGTGTCCAGTCTGCAGAGTCCTGTGCCCCTCCTGCTGTCGTGGGCTCTCATTCAGGGGGGGATGTATTTCACGTAGAAGGTAAGAGTGTAAACACTGGCCTTGGGGGAGTCTATGAAGGAATTCTTACCAGTATCTCTGGCTAGTGTTTCCAGCCTGGTCAATTCTCAGCTGCTTAAAGAAGGAAGAGGGGTCCATATTTTTTTAAATTGTGTTATTATTTAATCTTAAAAAAGTCTAGGAGATGTTGAGGCAGACTTTTGTGAGAAGAGTCCTTCAATTTTCTGAACTAGGAAGACTTCAGGTGGAATGGAGGAAAAATCTCTCCAGACTTCTAATGTGGCCTGAGGAAGCAGAGGTGGTCCCACCCTGGCCATATTTCAAGGTGTGGCAAGTGCCAGAGGGCAAAGTGGGCAGGTCCTACAACCTGAAGAGAGTCAAGGGGCAAAGTTCAAAGGCAGAAGGGGTGGTGGTTCTCAAATGTACAGGGAGGCTGGAAGAAGAAGACAAGAGAGCTATACTACAGGGAAAGAATTTAAGTTGGAATTCCAAATAACTGTCAGGCATAAAGAGATTTAGCAGGAAGAGGACAGAGTGAGGAGGGAAGGGGACACATCTCTCCCAGGAGATATCACAGACAAATCCCAACTCCAAATATGAAATCCGGGCAGGTTTCATAGGTGGAAGGCAGAAGGGGTCTCCTAGGTCCCCTGACCCTGTTTATTTTTTTCTTTGCTTTTCTAGGTGGGAAAAGGCTGCTATGACTCTTGTTTGGCAAGAGGAAATTGGAAGATAAAATAAATAACAAATAAAATAATCTAGTGCTGTCCACTCCTTCACGAGCATCCGTTCTAGTCACAACATTAAAGAGTGCACCAGGATTTGGGGGCAAGAAGGATAAATTAGAAAGGAAGTTTGGTGACAAAAGAATTAGAGGTTAACTGTGGACTGTGAATAAACTTGCAATTTTGGGAAGGCTGAAGAAGTGTACCCACGGACAACAGGTTTATTCACAGTTCATGATTTCCTCTAATTCTATGTTTTATTTTATTAGATATGGTGTTAAAACAGTGTCCTTAGGGCTACGAATTGAGGTTTATTTATAACCTTTTTAAAAATAAAATAAGCACATAATGGAAAATATCAAAAACCATTTAGAATAGATTTAAAATATTCACACTCCCCCCCACCCCACCCCCGTCCAACAGTGTGCCTTTTGCAGTTAGTAATTGTGGCAGGGACAAACTCACTTTAAGAAACACTTTTTAAAACTATCTTCAGGACCCTAATCAGAACTGGGCTGCCCCCTTGCGGTCTCTCCCATGTCACATTTTCAACAAGCCTACAGTCCCTGGGCTCCCGCTCCCCTTCTCTCTGTTCTCCTCTCAAAATGAGAGGGGGTAACGACAATAGTAACGTCCCAGTTACTTTTGAAACTCTAAATTCTGGACTTGCCTCCTTCTCTCCTTCAAAGCCTTTAGGATCTTCTCAAGGGGAAAAATGAAGAAATCTAAGGTGGACAAAGCCATAACCTAGGAGACCAGGGACCTACTCCACTCTGTTCGCGTGCTCGGAATCAGAGAATTCAAGGCGCAGGGGCCGGAGGAGTCCCGGCAAAAAAAGGAACTACTGAGTTTAGCTTTGACCTCTAGAGTCGTGGCGGGCTGGCATCTGAGCTGGTAACGTGCGTGGTAGGTTATGTAAGGAAAGGGCTGTAGGAGCCGCCCCGGCGGGAGCCCGAGAGAGGACGCGGTGTTCTCGGCCGCAGTCCCCACCCTCCTCACCCCGCAGGGCAGCAGGCACCCAACTTGGAGGAGAGAGAGGAGGGGAGGGTGAAACAGAGACCGGGGAGTCACGAGGGCTGGGCCGCGGAGAGAGGATACAGGGTGTCACACATCCATTCTCTCACACACGTTGCAGACCCAAGTCGCTGATGGTTTCCACGTGCTGCGCTCGTGAGCGGAGGCGCTCCAGGAAGGGGCTAGAGGAGTTGGCTCTGGAGGCGGAACGAGGGGGGAGGGAGAGCCCCACGTTCCGAGGCGCACGCCTTCAGTGGCACAACCAGTCTCTGAACACTCAAGTCGCGCGTCTCTGGCGCATCACCATCCTATTTAAGGCCACGGGTTCCGCCCTCTTCCTCCCCTCCCTTCTTTTCCACTCTTTTTCTATCCTCCTCCTTTTCTCATCACCGGGTCCTCTCCCGGAGCCGCATGTAGGGGCGGAGCACGAAATGCTTTCCTTCCAGCCAATCACCACCTCGCTGCCTCTCTATTGGCTGAGCTCTTTTGTACTGCAGCAAATAGGCTGTAAACTTCACTAACGAGGTCACGTGCTGCCGGCCAGACAACCAGTGAGGGCGCGAGATCTGTGTACGCAGGGGGAGGCACGTGCCGAGCCGCACGTGTCTGGGAGGGGTAAGGGGCGGGGCCCAGTGAGAGAGGCGGAGGTGGGTAGCCGAGACCCGGAGAGACTGAGACGGCCCTGGAGACGGAGCTTAGGCTGAGCCGGGTAAGGAGATTCGGAGGACAGCGAGCTGCTGGGAAGGACTGCACCCAGAGGAAGTGGGTTTGGGAACTGAATGCAGATCTTGGGGGAATTGTATCACGTGGCAGACGCGACCAGACAGGGGTCCGCGCAGGGATTGTGACTGAAAGATTGGGGAAGGGCCGCAGGCTGGTCTCTGTGGGCGCGGCCCCATAGGCTCGCTAGGTGGGTTGGGGTGCCCAGATTTACCATTTGCTGGTGGCGTGGCCTCAGGTGGAGAGGCTTGCGGCGGGATCAGGCTGGGGCACAGTACCGAGGAACAGCGGGCGGAGGGGAAGCTGTCATTCCAGTCAGCTATTTACTCTGAATTGAGAGGAAAGAAAAGAACCAAGGCCGTGTGAGGCCGCCAGCTGCTCTGCGGAGGCTGGAGAGGCAGCCCCAGTTTCTTAATTGGTGGGGGTGGGGGGATGACTTTTTCTATTGTTCTCTGAGACAGGTGATATTGGGGAGGGGGAGAAGAGGTATTATTCTACGCAGTACACCCCAGTCTCCCCGTCTGTTTTCTAATCCTTAGACTCCAGTTTCAAACTCCCTTGCTTTGCTCTTCAGTTGCAGGTTCCGATCTTTGGGTACTCCGGGAGCTGCTCTCCAGCCCCTGCTTCTGGACCTATGGATTCTCCATCTAGCGTTTCTTCCTGTTCCTCCTATTCTCTCTCTTCCTCTTTTTCCACCTCCCCATTGAATAGTGACTTTGGCTACCCCTCCGATAGTGAGAGGGAGGACAAGGGAGCCCCTGGGCCCAGGCCAGACACTGCTGGGCAGAGAGGAGGTTTGCGGCCCAGCCCAGGTCCTATCCGCTGCAGGCATCGATCCAAGGTTTCCAGTAACCAACATACAGCATCTCGCCCGGAACAACGAGGCTTGACTTCTCCTATGGCAGGATCTGGGGTCAGAAGATCAAGAGATGGTGAATTGGAGACCAGTGTAAACATCCAGGGTTGTACCACAGAAGGAGACCTGCTATTTGCTCAGAAGGTAGGAGAAAGGCGACACTTAACTAAAGTGGCTTAGCGCCTGGCTGGTTGATATGGACCCAGTGAGGGTCCCAGATTTGAAGGTGGAGGAAGAATCATTACTAGTGTGGGCAGTCCTCGGTTTTCTCATAGCCTTTGTCCTATTTTTCTACAGTGTAAAGAACTCCAAGGATTTATACCCCCTCTCACAGACCTACTGAATGGGCTGAAGATGGGTCGTTTTGAGAGAGGTAATTTTCTAATTAGTAGCATTTATTTGGGCTGTGTTTCTTTCTCTTCCTCCTTTTTAATGTGTATTTCTCAAGTTTTTGTTTGGGGCCAGTATTATTCCTTTTTTTTTTTTTTTTTTTTTTTTTTTTTTTACTTATATGACAATTTCTTTAGGTGAACCAGTTTTAATCCCTCTGTTCTTCCCTTACCTGACTACATCTTGAATGCCCTTGATTTTTCTCTCTTCCAAACCCAAGGACTAAGCAGTTTCCAGCAGAGTGTGGCAATGGACAGGATTCAGCGTATTGTAGGTGTTTTGCAGAAGCCACAGATGGGGTAAGTTACCCTGTTCTTTCCTTGGGACCTCATAAAAGGAGATTTATCAATTTCTGTCTTATTTCTTTTTTCAATTAATATCATCTTTAAAAATGTTCTTTTCACAGGGAACGTTATCTAGGAACCCTGCTACAGGTAGAAGGGATGTTAAAGACTTGGTTTCCCCATATAACTGCCCAGAAGTCACCATTGGATGGTAGCAGGCATCAGCTGACCAAGGTAAGAACTTAACCTGTAATCCCAGCACTTTGGGAGGCCAAGGCAAGAGGACTGCCTGAACCCAGGCGTTCGACACCAGCCTGGGCAACTTGATGAGACCTCGTCTCTACAATAAATCAAAAACTTAACTGGGTGTGGTAGCATTCACCTGTAGTTCCAGCTACTTGAAAGGCTGAGGTGGAAGGATCACCTGAACCCAGCAGGTTGAGGCTGCAGTGGCTGTGAGCGTGCCACTGCACTCCAGCCTTGGCGACAGAGTGAGACTCCAACTCAAAAGAAAAAAGAACTTAAAAACCTGAGGAATAGGTGGGAAAATAACCAAGGAAATGAAACGTGCACGTAGAAATGGGCTCTCCCTTCCATTTTCTTCTAAGTCTTTTCTTCAAGTTTCTTTTAAGGCAAAGGAATGCCTAAACTTCCTGCATTGTCTTGATTTCTAGAGGGTTTTTTTGTTGTTCTATTTTGTTTGGATCACTGGGGAAGATCTCCATAAAGTTTAATCCCATCCCTCATGTTGCAGCTTATCTGCGTTTTGCATAGATCAAAAAGACTTTTTACCTGACCAGATGATTCATGCAGGAAGATGCCACAGCTTCTCTCTGCAAATCTTTTTTTCTCTGCTGCCCCTAAAACCCTTCCCCCTCCCTCTTTTCACTCCTGCCTGAGTATCCTTGTGTCAAACCCTCTGGAAGCCTGTGAGTTTACACTGGGTTTCAAGGACTGGTCATAAGAGGTATATTACTTGGAGTGCAGGAAAGGGCACCCCTGGAGCAAGTGTTGATAGATTCTTAGACCTGGTGTAGAAGTGACCTATTTTCTGTGACTTCAAATAATGGGGTATTTAGAGGGCATTTAAAAAATGGAGAAGAGAGTCTCCTGAAGATAATTGCCAGTCCTTGTTTTCAATCAACCACGGTTATTATTGCTGTGAGAATATTTGATTAGAAAATAAGCAGCAGGCCAGGCATGGTAGCTCACACCTGTAATCCCAGCACTTTGGGAGACCAGGTGGAAAGATTATTTGAGCCCAGGAGTTTGAGACCAGCCTAGGCAACATGGCAAGATTTCATCTGTACAAAAAAATTAGCCGGGCACAGTGGCACACGCCTGTAGTCCCAGCTACTCAGGAGACTGAGTCAGAAGGACCTGAGCCCAGGAGGTCGGGGCTGTGGTGAACTGTGATTGAGCCACTGTACTCCAACCTGGAAGACAGTGATACCCTTGACTAGGAAAAAAAAGGCAGGCTCTTGCCTGCATGTTAATTTACAGGTCTCAAAGAACTCAACATAGAAAATTAGACATTAAAATACAGAAATTGGGAAATGATTCCAATTTAAAAATGGGTTTTTCTTTAAAGATTTTAAAAGTAATTTTTTTTTTTTTGAGTTGGAAGTCTCACTCTGTAGCTGGAACCACAGATGCATACTACCACGCCCACCTAACTTTTTAAATTGATTGTAGATATGAGGTCTTGTCAAGTTGTCCATGCTGGCCTTGAACCCCCGGTCTCAGGCAGTCCTCTTGCCCCTGTCTCCCAAAATGCTGGGATTACAGGCATAAGCCACCATGCCTGGCTTCCACTATTTTTTTTTTTTTTTTTTTT